TAAAGGGATTGGCACTGCTTGCCACTGTACTGTGTTCGGCAGTTTTTTTACTTAAAACATTCAGTATTTATTTTTTAGGTGCTGTACGGAGGTGTTCGATTGTTTGAGCCTTTCTGCGGTTATCGCGGGCAAGGTGTTCTGTGTTCACGGTGGTCTGTCACCGTCAATCCAGAATCTGGATCAAATTAGGACAATCGATAGGAAACAAGAGGTATTTACAAAGATAACTCAAAAATTAGCATAAAAAGAAGAAATCCGAAATTTTATCCGATGTTTTTCGCAGAACTACAAGGAACTGAAGGAATTTTAAGGTACCACATGATGGACCAATGTGTGATTTGCTATGGTCCGATCCAGAAGATAGCATTGGCTGGGGTGTGAGTCCGCGTGGCGCTGGCTACTTATTTGGTTCCGATGTTGTTAAGGTCAGTTATTTATTGTTGATGTTATTTTTTGTCTCTGAACTTTATTCCTGTATGACCACCATCTAATCAGGGTTGATCAAATAGCTGCAGATGAAAATAAGGTAAAAGAATGCGCGTACAGAAAATTATACACATACTTTCAGTAGTAGTATATTTTTAAAACATTTTGTACGCCATTGCTTTCTCCGTCAAAGCCAGTTTCTGCTTTCCCGCTTTTGTCATTGATCATGTTTTGCATCCATAGGCCATTGCCTTCAACACAATTATACTGAAAAGGTTTGAATGGGGAGAAGTTACAGCTATTCACGTAAATTTTTCCTGATAACTTAGTAAATTAGCAAAGGAACAGCTAGGATAACGGCGCGTCGACCCATTAAGCTATATACACCTTATCCTAGTACCGATTGTGACACAGATTTGTCTTTAAGTTATACCGTAAGATAAGTGTTGAAAACGAAAGTAAAAGCCATAAGACGGCGATGCATCAAAAAATCTCTAATCTTAACCTGAAAAAAAAAAAAAATTGGCAAAAAATGAGTGAAATTTACTTGGTCGAATATTAAAACAGCGGTTTCAGGCATTTTGTCAAGCGAATGGAGTGGATTTGATTTGTC